TCCGGTTTTTCTGTTCCATGCCACTTATTCGAATTTATAAATTGTGCTTGTGGCGGTAAATAACCAGTTGGCGCTTTATCCAACAACAAACGCAATTTATCTTCGGTGGCAATTAGTTCGCTTAGACGGTGCAGCACCTAACACAAGATTATTGGAGCAACACAAAAACCATACAAATAACAAATGATAACTACCTTGGAGCGTATCATTGGCTCCTGTTGCGTTGAAAATGAGCTGACTGTTTCGCGCATCCAGTTTACACAATGGAAATATATATCTAAAATGAGTTTCTGCAATTGTTCGTCGTAATCATAGAATATTGCATCACTATTCGACTCATCGAAAAACGTAGGCAATACTATAGCGCAACCAAGTAGTGCATTTATTTGTTCCAAACTACCTTGATACCGTTGCAAATGCAAAGAACGCACTAAATTGAAAAGTGGAGCAAGTACCAAAATCGAAGATGAGGAGCTGCAATGCAAATACATAAATTTTATACTCATAACAGATATTTTGAAATGTTACACAGAGCCCGGCTTCAGCACCAATTCTGCTATATTGATCGCAATTGATGGTATCTCACTTTCCTCCATATTAGCTGTGTCATCGATGGTATTAATGCATTTCTGGTAAGTCAATTCAATACCACTATAGTTAACAATAAATAAGTATAATTATTAGACGAAGTTAAATGTGTAGCTAAGCAGACTTACAATGGTTTGGTGGGTGAATGTTCGGCAACAAAATTATTCTGAAAATAGAAAGTCATAACATCGCATAACCAAATCAAATACGGTTTGTCAAGTTGTGTGGATGTTTCGCGTTCGATGGGCATACACATGCAACTACTAGCAAGTTCATCATAGAATAGTGCTAAGGATTCTGGGCAGTGCACACAGGCCGTCTCCACCAGCACTGCAATTGGGTATTAATTTCAATGGTTAATAAATCATAAAATTTATTTATTTATTATTAAAATATTTACTTATAAAATTTGCTGCCGTTTTGCCACGTCCATCAGGCAGCGCACTAGCGTTTGAATATGAAGTGTCGAAATCGTCATGTTCTATAATAGTATCCTCAATACGCGCCATACAATCGATAAGTTGTACAGCGCCAATGATGCCCTGTTTTCTCACGCTTTTAAATAACAAGCGTTATAATTTTATCATAGCATGAGTATTATTTGAGATAAACTTACTGTATATCAAGGTTTATTATTTGCTTTTTCAAAACCATATCTAGCTGATCCTGTAGCACAGTACATTCCGAAAGCGGTGGTGGAGGAAAGGCTATTGAGCAAAGTATCTCCATCGCCAACCGCGTTTGTGAAAGTGACAGATCGCTAAGCCGGTCTAAAAGAGGCTTTAAAAGCAGGCATTGTGTAAACAAAAACAGGAAAAAGTTAACTATGGTTGCACCGAAGCTATAACACTCTCCACAAAAACAGAAGATTCCACACCAGAACTTGATTTTGATCGATCAGTTAGTATGCCAGCTATATGCTATAGTAGCCCGACATGTGCAATTTCTTCGGAAATTGTACCGTAGCCTTAGACAATAATTCTTACCAAGTTTCGTGAAGATATCTCGGTAAAAAAAAAAAAGTTTCATAGGACTGGATTTCGATCGTTCAGTTTACAAGTCAACTATACGATATGCTGCTCCGATAACGATGGTTTTGAAAAATGAGCAAATTCTTGGGGAGAAAAGGATGTGCGGAAAATTTTAAATTGTATGTACAGACAGACGGACAGCTCAATTCCTACGACTGGCGTATCTACTTTATCGGAATTGATCCGGATTTTATCCGGCCGACACTGTTTTTTTGGCGATTTAATCCCGTTTGAAAAATAAACGGACGGACAGATGGCCAGACATATCCAATATATGTCCTGCGTGCAGTCTCCGCATAATACTGGCTACCTCTTTGCATGCCCCACCAACACCACTTATCTGACACTCCTCTTCCTTTGGCCCGATCACGTCGAAACAGCATGTTTCTTAGCCCTTCCGTTGGATGACATCGAAACCAACTTAACTAATCCTTACCATCCTATCGTGGATTAGATACTCACGAAAACAACAACATGGTCAGACGGAAAAATGGACATAGAGATGGAAGGGCTCAATCGACTCAGCTCATCATGCTGATCATTTAATTATATACTTTATAGTGTGTTACAAACTTCGTGTCAAACCTACGCTGTTCAGCTTATAAAAACATAACTATTTCCACTTACCATCAGCAGGGTTCCCCAATTTTGTATTTCAGCACGATATTTTCTTTGTAATTCTCTCAGTAGTTCCAAAGACAGAGTTGCTAATTTGAGCGTTGATTTGTCACAGGTTAGCTGTAGCAGCCGCTTGAGTATGGTGCGTTGTATAGACTCACAAGTCTTAAATAATACACTGAAAGTAAGTTAAAGGGTACAAAGTTAAACAATACATTAAATCTCTAGATTAAATTACCCAAATGATGATATGGCGAAGCCTCTAACCACATTATGATTTTCTCTTAAAAAATCATACATCAACTCCATAAGAGTGTGCGTATGTTGCTCTAAAATTGCAGCATAGTTAGACTTCATTTCAGCAAATATATCCACAGTTATGTGCTCTAATTTTATGTGTCGACGTAACTAGTTATTAAATACTCATTGTATGTTGGTCTAAATTTTAGCAGAAGCATTTCATTTTACTTACAATATTCGCAATAAACAAATAGTTATCTTCTTTAATATATAGTAGAAGTAGAAGTATGATAAAGTCCACTGATCTAAAGTACGTAAAATATATTATAGAGGATTTCCGTTTAAAAGCGAAAACATTTTATGCTATAAACCTGAATTGACTGCCTGGCAAAGAAGCCAACAATTTTTGCCAAGTAGTATAGAACTTCTTTGAACGCACAAAGGCCTGTTCAATAAAAGTAAAAAGATCTTGTTGTGTTGGGCAATCCATGGGCGTATTTAAACGCCATACCAGAATTTGACGTGTTGTTGTAACTAGCTACAAAAATGCATGTTAGTTAAAACTTAAACAACTCGAACTATACCAAGCTCTACCTCATTGACATTCTCATCGCTGCTATCAATTAATGCCTTAAAAAGAAAGTTCACTAATAACGGTAAAATCTGAAAAAATATACATTAATAGCACCATATAGAGCAATAAGAAGAAAAGAGAAAATCTACCACATACCGTGTTATTAAAACCATCTTCTTTTATGTAATCTAATACACGATGGCGAAGCTCAGACTGCATGCTGTGACCTAAATTCAGATTTGTCAAGGATTTAATTGAAATGGAGCTGAACAAGTCTTTGCTTGTGGGTAGATTCTCTCTAAGAACATAACATAGATATATGAATATACGTAAAAGTTAGTAGTTAAAAACGTGCTTACAATAGCATTTGTACAAAATCATCATGTTTGCTTTCGTCCAAAACGAGCTCGGCGTTAACTATGATATCCCGTCTAGCTGATTCACTGGCATCTTTAAATGCGCTTGAGATTCGTTCAAATATTAAAGTACTATGCGTTTGCGCGACATAACGCAACTGCACCATAAGCAGCGGTAGTAAAGGAACGGTACCTTTTCCAAGAAACACAGGTGTTCTGAAAAGTTTCAAAGGTATAATTGTGAACTTCACAATATAATAGTGTTAAATTTATTAATTATTAATTACCGCTGGCTTGCAGCTTCCGCAATTTTTTGAAGCAAAACTTCTACAACGGCATCTTGTAAAAAGTCAACCATTAAAAAGTTGAAAATCATACTCTCCTGTGATTGATACTCAGAATTATGGTCAGGCACCTTGATTGTACAGCCGCTTAACAATTTCAAACTGTATTTACATTTCGGCGACAATGCATCATTTAAACCTGTTTTGAACATGTCCACATTTTCCATATAATTTGCACATTTCATGAATACTTCCCGGAATTTATTAACAAACGTAATATGATCACAGGCTAAATATAAAAGATTAACAATATTTTCATATATCCATTTTAATTATACAAACATACATAGAACAAAATTGTCTGCTTCGTCCAAAAGCACGCCAGATTTAATTAGTACCAACTCAAAGTAACTTTTGGGTGGGCGCACACTTGTGTTGCGTGATTGTGTACGACCTAGTGATGAAGCTATCGTGCTACGTTGAGATAAGTAACGTTGAGTAGCCTCTTGGGATGCTGGTATATTCTCTTCACTGCTGCCACCAGCACTGCAAATCTCAGCTGCAACAACAACCTTTGATGATGGCTGGGTCTTCCGTTGACTATGGCCGAGATTTAAGGAAGTACACTGTAATATTGAATTTTTACATTTTGATTTTGAAGTGATACTATTTTGTTTACTCCACTGTCAATTGAAACCCCCTTAGGTATACTTACTGCGAATTTGACCGATGCATTTTCATCTATTGAATCTAAAGGCCTTTTGTTCTCACTAGACCGAGACGTATTTGTGTCTTTGAGGGTAATCTTATTTTTACCAAATTTTCGGTTTTTGTACATTTTATGTATTATTTCAAAAATATTACTGAACAATTCTAAACAAAAAAGACCGCGAGAATTTAATTAGATTTCACAAACCTACACAGGGTTGCATATTCGACATGTCAATTGGCAAGTTATTACACTGAGGGCTGAAAGATTGCGAATATTTTTGGTGACTACTAATTAATAGAAATAGAGATCGCTACAGTTGCGAGCGATTCTTTCAGTTTAACAAAAAGTATCGAAGCAAATAATCGAAAGACTATATTTGTTAACATTACTGCGAAATTGTGACAGCTTCTCTGTGCTTCCTTTTCCTTTTGAGAAGTGCATTTATGTTAAAAACTATATTCCTCTTGTTAATATTAGAAAATTATGATTACTTGGTATTCATGTCAAACCAAAATGTCGGAAATTCGTTAAAATATCCAATAGCAAATGCGGTCAGTGTTTATTAATCATTTAATTTTTATTAAATATTGTATCTACAACTACAGGCTTATTCTATTATTGCTTTATCATCTTAAAGATGTTCTAATTTAAAATGGCTATATATCTGACTATGCTTTTTTATGTTGCCGCATGCTTTAATAGTTTAATTTAGCCAAAGTTAAATACGGTTTCTAAGGTGTATTTTTTCATATGTATCGTGATATAAAGTGCGTATTGTTATTTTATGTTTAAATTGACGATGTGCTTAATCCAAGTTACATAAATGTATTTTTTTTCGATTTTTCTTTTATTGGAAAGTTTTGATAATAAGTGTTGTACAATATATGTACATACATACATGATATTTGTATTTGAATTGATAATTTTTACTTAGTTCCATGTACTGCCAGTAGTTTTACAAGTTTCTTAATACTATAAAATTGAAATGTTTTGCCAACACAATATTAAGTGATTAATATATTTACATACATGTAAATAAATCTTGAATAGTTGCTGCTCTTAAAATCATGCAAGATTTTAATTGTTCAAACTAATACTGTAATGTAATTTTTAATATGTTTTCCTGTTTTATACTGATAATCATATTTGAAAAAATTCCATTAAAGTGCTTCTAAATGTTTTGTATTCATGAAAATATCACTATAATATATTTGTTCTTTAATTTTTTTCCAAATTTTATATTTGTTTTTTCGTGCGCCGTCGTTTGAAACCAGTCATTTGCTTTAGTAATTGCGAGTTTTCATCGTCCATATCTGAGCTGGGCTCCCACAAGCGTAAACGTTTGGGTATGTAAATGAGTCCAATTAATGTAATTGCTGGAATATATTAATAAAAAAGTAAAAATTATTTCAAATTTTAAAATACATATATACATAAGTACGTATTTTTACATATACATATGTATATATTTTTATCGACCTGTACTTACAATTTAGAACGCAGGGGAAGATCACATAAAAGTTCAACGTACTCGAACGAAAGTATAAAGCTTCGGAAGCATAAAGAACCATGGTTAAAGCCAATGAGCAGCCACCCATGCTAACAACTCTGTAAGAAATGTAATTGAGAATATTTAAATGTACAAGTAGAACATGACATGCAGAAGCCATATGGAAATAATTTTACACAAATAATTTATATTATGCAGTAAGTTGAACTTTCTTAAAAATTTTGTATTTTAGAGCAATTTTAATTCTACTTTTGCAAAATTTCAGGTATAAGACACTTATTAACTGCTATTAACGGGGTCGATAGATGGAGATAGTTAACGGACAAAATTTACATACATAGATTTAAAAATAGCCACGAAAGTAGCACAATTCAAACACATACTCCTTACATGAGACTACATGTATGACATGACTGTATATAGCCAAGTTGCTATTGTCGGTGTAAAAACTTGTCAGATTTTCAGGTACTTACGGTCTATAGTGAATGTAGAGCGTGCAATGAACTAATGCAATTGCTTTAAGCAAACAATACATGCCAATTATGCGGGATATTGTATAATCTCCTGAAAATATTCAATATAGTAATTAATATTTCCATATAATGAGAGCTAAATAATTATTATAGAATATATTTAAAACTTAAAGTTGCTAATAAATAATGTTAAACTAATATTTATTTAAAATTTACGCAAATAAAGCAAAAATTATGTAAATCTTAAAGTAGTGGATAGCAGTAAAAGTATTCCTCCTCACCTTCGATAAATTGAGTATCCGTATGATCCCCAAGAAAGCTCCGTCTCTCTATATAACTACGAAATGCTGTTCCCAAATCCATAAAAGCAACAAATGCTATCCAGCCCCGAAAGGCGTATAGCAATTTGCGCTCCATTTTCGTTTGGTACGGCGTTTTGGCGACTTTTTTACCTCACCACAATGTAAAATATTTATTTAGGTTTAGGAATTATTTAACCAAATATTCTTGCTGAAATAATAATTAATTAATTATACAGATTGTAATTTTTACAGATTTTTTAGTTTCCATATATTAGCAGTTAAGCCGAATTATAAAAGTACACTGTTATTGTAAAGTTGAGTTTGTTGTTTTCGTAAATATTTTAAACTTGTTATTTTTTTTTTTTTTGTACAAGTGCATTATTTTCCAACATGTTTCGAAGGTATTTGTGAGCTAAAATTATGAAATAAAAATCATGCAGATTTTCTGTCCACAAAGATAATAACCCAAAACACCAAGTAAAAATTCAGTTTAACATCATACCGGAACACATCTAATATTTCCTTTCATAATTTTTATGGTTACCGTAATATGCGGCGGAAATAATTAATACACATGCAGGCTGCACAACAAATCACACACGCATACACACATTAAGTGCTTGAAGCAATAAATAGCTTCAAATGGCAAATAAAATCAATAAAATGAACCCTTTTGCAATTTGCTAGCGAATGGAAAAGGTAGCAAGTGATATTTATGCTACAGGTACACATCCGCCAATAAATCGCGTGACATATCCGTTTTTCTGCTCCATCGCAAGCGTAGAAAAATCCATAAAACGCTGATCCATCCCGATAACAATGCGCAACCACACAAACAGTCAAAGCCATTTAAGATTTATAGACGCCTTTGCATCAATATCAACTTTAATGTCACATTAATAAATATTGTATTAATAATATTATTTAAAAAATATTCTCTTACCTTTTACTTTTACGTTTGTTTCTTTTCACGTCTTCTTAATAAGTATGCTTAAGCAAACTGTGGTTGCACTTGCCAAGTAACGCGTGCATTCAAAATATGTAGATTTTCTTGCTTTAATTGTTTTCTTTTATTTTGAATGTTTATGTTAATTTTAGATGTGTTTCCCAGGCTAACTTGCTGAACTGTTTGCTTGTATTTTTTTATTGAATTGTCTGCGTATTTGGTTTTCCGGCTTTTCCACGCTCTCGAAATTTGTTTATATACGTCGAAGAGAAAAGTTTAACTGTCTGACTGCATTCTCTACAGATGCCAATGTACCATGCAGAATGCTGATTGTTTGCTGGCTGCTTAGTATTCTTTCGTTTTTTTTTGCGCCGGCACTTGTGATGGACTTGCGCACTGTGTTGTTTATAAAATTATGGGTATTCCCTGAGAATATATGCAATATACCGTAAATTTGACGAGCTTTGGTTAGAAATGCTGAATAGTATTTAACTTTGTTGGCTTAATATTTGCTAGCTAAAATGTTAATAAATATGATTTGAATAAAACAAACCATATGAAGTAAAATTTAAATTTTTTTTATTTAAAGAATCAACAAATGTCTACACATGTATAAATTGTATAAATTTATGGCTTTTTTTGATCATCGCTAGCTTGTGCTTCCTCACTCTTTCGGTATTCTGCATAATCCACATAGCCATCGTTATTCAAATCCATTTGCTTTAACACATAATCAACTATGTCAGTTAATTGTTCATCGGAGTAAACTTTGCTTTTTCCCTCTTCCTCAGTCCCATGATGCTCATCCGCTTTGTCGTGCGCGCTTTGAACTATGGTTGAATGAAAATTGTATGCAAAATGTGGTATTATATTACTTTTATTATTAAAACTACATTTTCAAATGTATGATGAAACCATGCTTTTGAACCAATTTAAGCTCACCAAACACCAAACCCAGCATTTGCCACCAATTTGAAGTAGCATGTGTCAGCATTTATGTTGTGCTATCTACTACTATGCAGTGTAGACAAAAACAAACAATGAAAACTTAAAAATGTTTATAAATATATCTTTTGTTCAAAAATTCCAGTAATGTTAAAAAAAAACATTTGACATCACAAAATCAATATTAATATTTCGTAATTGTAATTACATAAATTTTGAGTTTGTCAATTTACTAAACAAGTTCTATATTATTGCGATTGTTACGAATTTTATGCAACCTAGGACTGCCATTTTGAGAACCGAAAGCTGTTTGGTTGCTTAAGTAAAACTTTTGATTATGTTCTTGTAAATAAATCTTACTTCTAGCCCACTTGAGCTGGCATATTTTTTACCGATTATTTTAATATTTTTATGTGTTTGCTGTGGAATTGTGCCACAATCAGTCAGCTTTCGAACATGTATTTCTCTTATTTGCATTAAACGTACAAATTTTTGTTTTTATACTTTTTGTCATTCTTTTTTTCGTTGAATATTTATTTAATTAAAATTTTTGTAGAAAATCTAACTTTGTTCACATTTTATGTAGTTGTAATGAGCACAGTTCTAAAATACCTACATACAAATAAATTTACCTAAGATAATTAAATAAATTAGGTATCCAAAGAAGAAAGAGATTCGCGAAGGAACGGCGAAATTAATTTGCTAAATATATAAATTGTTCATGCGCAAAGCTATGTCTAATAGAAAAGTTGCCTTTTGTTTGGAATGACGACATTCAAGACGAAAAACTGTAAAAAAAAACAATAGAAGAACTAAAGAAATTGCAAACAAATTGAATTCAAATCACAATTTTGCGCCAAAAAATTATGTCATGGAATCATAAGAATCCTTAAGTAGAATAGGGATAACCTAACAACAAATAATAAGAAACATATTTCATTGCATCACTTATTTTCCACTTTGTGGCTGTTGCTGTTGTTGCTGTTGCTGCTGTTGTTGTTTTTGTTGTGATGCTGCCATAGCCTTTTGTTGTGCCTTTATAAATTCTGGATAGTCAATATAACCATCGCGTGACGTATCATCCATTTGCAGAATAGGATCGATCAATGCCACTAGCTCTTCATCAGAGAAGATCTTTTCTTCCACATGTGGCGTCTGTTCGTTGTGCGGTTGCTCTTTGCTTCCTTGCTCTATTAGTTAAAATCATTCAAATCAAAATACCGTAAGATTTCCGAACATGCGATTATGCGTTTGATTGAATGAAATGAAAGCATTTATTTTTTTCCAAAACCAATCCATTCACAGAGAATTATGGTTGTTAATGATGAAAGTAATGTACGAGTATAGTTTGATGTATGTTTGTTGATAACAAATTCACGGTTCACATGTAAATAAAAAAATAAAATATGATTAAACAATTAGATTAAAAATTAACTGTCCTTGGCATTCTTTATATTTTTTAAATAAACTGTTTATATTAGCCATACGAGCTTTATGCGTCTACGGTTTAGATCATATTTTTTAACAATATTTTTTATTGCAAAATACATACATATGCTTATATTCATACATATTTTTAAATCATTATCAAAATGATTTTTGAATTTAATCTGCATGCTATATGTATGTAAATTTAATATTTTAAATATTCCGTTTTCCATATTCCGAATAAGTAACAGAAAGAAAATTAGAAATTCTATATCATTTTTCATTAACGTAAGCTTATAACTTTTTATGCAAATTAGAAACACGAGGATACGCATAAATGTTTTTTTACGTAGTATATACAAACACAATTGTTATGAAACTATAGACATAAAGTGTGGTATGTGATGTCAGTGTAGAATATATAAAATATTGCATATATGGGAATGATCCGACACCGTATCAACAAGCATACATACAAAAATCCTTATGTAAAATAAACAATTGAAACAACATACCATGCCAGTGAATTAGTGATTTTATGAGCTCACAACCGTCCAATTTGTTGTTGTTATCAGAATCGTGCATTTTGAAGTAATGGAATTGCAGTTCTGCCTCAGACATTTTGCTCGTATCAATCGGAACCTGCATGTGTTCCTGAATGTGACTAAAATAAATAAAAAGATAAAATTAGTTTTGAAATAGTTCTTGCTTGCTATGTTCCAATCAGTAATATGATAATTCCTACGTTACTTACGCTCTCTCATCTTGGATATTGGCTGCGTTCAACACTTGCTGTTGGCCATGATGAGCTTGATGAGGTGCATGTGGCGCTTGTTGTTGCACCGGTTGTGGAGGCTGTTGTTGGAATTGTTGCTGTTGTTGAGGTGGTTGCTGTTGTTGAAATTGCGGCTGTTGTTGTTGTTGATACTGCTGTTGTTGTTGCTGTTGCACGGGCACCTGCTGATATTGCACTTGCTGTTGCTATAATTTAACACAAAATCATTTCATTATATTAATCAGTTTTTGCTTTTTAACATTTTCTCTCACATAATGCTGAGGATTGACATTTGGCGCATGGTGTATTTGTTGCTGTTGTTGTTGTTGATATTGTGGCTGCTGATTATGCTGCACCGGAACTTGTTGCTATATATCGTCCAAATTCATGTTTCTCATTATTTTTTATATTTTGATGTAGGTAGGTAATTTTACTTACATAGTGTTGTGGAGGAACTCCTGGAGCAACCCGTTGAGCGGATGTGAATCCAAATAACATTAACGATAACAGCAGCAGCGAAAAAGCTGGTAACTGTTTTCGGTGGAAAGACTTGATTTCAGGACGCATATTGGCACACCTACGTCAGGTAGGCTGGGAAGCACGGCAGTGTAATAAATCTTTTAATTCTTGACTGAAACTTATTTTTATATTATTGCAGCTTTAACAATACGAAGGGAATCGAACAACCACGTCAAACAAAAAAAAACCAGAGAAATTCACACGTATACACGTATACAACTTTGAAATGTCAAAACACTAGAGCTGTGATGCTATACGATAGTTAGGAACAGAAACTAGTATTATCGACTATAACTCTGTAACTAGGATACAACCGCTTACACAGAGCCTAAGTAATTAACCATACGCCAAATGTCTAGACGAGCCTTTATATGATTTTTCTCTATGTCTTTAACTATATAGACCAGTTATAAAAAGAATCCATGTTATCGATAATTTAGCATTTCTGGAGTTCTAGATTTATTTATTTTGTTTTGTAAAACTAGATATATATTTTAAATAAATCGATATTCATTTCTACACCACAAATTGCTTATTTTTTTTACGTCACTAAATATTTTATTAGTTGCCTAAAAACTGTTTTCACTCACTGAACACCCTATGAAAAGAAACGTCACGGTTGGATGGATAACTCTCCAATGTGAAATTTTTTGTCACAGTATTTACTTGAAGATTTTGTTTTCATTTTATACTTTTATAAACATATCAAATAACTATAACTGTATAGATTCTGCAATTTCCTGCTCAAGATTTTCAAGTGTTTTTAGAAAACTTCAGTAAAAAAAACTTAAAAAATACTTAAATGGTAAGTAAAAGCTTTTATGTAAATATTAAAAAAAATAATTACAAAGTTTCACTAATTTCGAATACTTGTTTATAATTTCGTAGGCTCGATATTTCAAGGAACAGGATATTGATGGTATGGAAATAACTTATATTACTTTAATAAGATTGGGTTTACTACATTTCAGCCATATTTGGAAGTTGATACTTTCTAATTGCTTAATCCGTATACTTTCGATGAGTAACATAATTTATCTTATCATTGCTAGAATTCCGTGAGTGTTTCTATCTATTTGCCCGGTCGGGACAGATAACTTCCCTCGATGAATTGACAGTAATTATGCGATCTCTTGGTTTATCTCCAACCATCCAAGAACTGATTGCATATTTAAAAAAGAAAGGAGGTAAAATGAGCTTTGCAGACTTTTTAGAAATTATGCATCAACATTCCAAAGTCGAAAAAATCCCTGACGAAGTCATTGCTGCATTCAAAGCGGCCGATCCGCAAAATACAGGAACTATATCTGCCAGGCAACTAAGAAATTTATTGCAAAACTGGGGAGAGGGTTTGTCAGTGCGTGAGGTAAATGGAAAATGATTATTTTGTAAACAATTTGTATTCAATAAATGAAAATCGTTCCCAGGTTGATAACATTTTCCGTGAAGCAAATGTGAACAACAACACTGTGGTCCGATATGCTGATTTTATAAAAATCGCTTGCGCTCCAGTTCCAGACTACTATTAAAATATTTTTTTTATCTTAATTGAAAATAACTGCTTACAAAATATATACATTCCTTAATTTCAAATATCATTCAAAATTTAAACAAATAAAACTCAATTTTATATACAATAGAAAACTGTATATTTCACCATTGTTTCAAAAAATGCATTGTATAAAAAGTTATACATGTTCCGTTTTAGTTGGCAATTGTAACCTCAACTTCTACGCCAGCTTCAATGTTGATTGAGGTGATCTTCTTTACAATCTCAGATGGTGAATGCAAATCGATGATACGCTTATGGATTCTCATCTGGAGAAGATACAAAATTATAAGAATTAGTATATGGCTTTTAACACAGGTGAACTAAATATTTTTTTAGCTATTTGTAAAACTCAAAGAGCCATTTGAATAAGTAATATTTCAAATGGACTATGTGAGTGCGTTTTTTATAGGCAAATACATTAATACTGAACGAAGTGTGCTACATACATCTAAGCTCGATATTATATTTGCCACGCATTGGAAAATATTACGATAAATTAATTACCTGGAAACGATCCCAAGTTTTGGAACCTTCACCACAAGGTGTTTTACGTGTGGTGATGCGTAGAGTCTTGGTTGGCATCCGTACTGGGCCCTGAATAAAAAATAATTCATTTATTTTAAAAATTTCATTAAACAACTGAAAACACGTGTAGCTTGAACATAAAAGTCTTTCTTTGCACAAAAACACTAGAGAGATAATGTCCAATCCAAGCCGAATATGTTATAGCACCAAAATAAAGACTAGGCTAAGCTCATTATCGCAAGCAAAACCTCCAGGAAAGTGCATATACAATTAAGTATAAAACATACGGCATGCTTACCTTGACACGCAGATTCTGGTTCTTGGCACTATTGATTAAATCACGGCACACATTCTCCAAAGAACGTACGTTCCTAGAAGTTAAAGTGATGCGAATGCGGTGAACTGATGCAGAATCAGCGCCTTGGGGCTTTTCGATATCCTTAGGTACGGCAGACTGAAATAAACGAATTGAGGTTATGCTAGTATAGATACACGTGTCCACTTTTACATTAGAAACCTTAGCTGTTTTGTTGTAATAAATGCATATTATTGTCAAGTATGCATTATGTTAACAAAAGCAGATGGATGCAATATTAAATACATACCATTTTAATAAAAAAAAAAAAAAATCCTGGTCGAGATATTCAAATCTTTGACTATTGAACAGCGCTGAACCAGAGCTGAGAACGAAATGAACGAGAAATATGTTAGCATTCGTTGTGAACGAGACACTGCGAATTGGAGAGATATCGATAAATCGCGCAACCGATAAAAGTTGATATACCTTATTTTGCTGTTACAATGGTAATTAATTAATTCTGATGGTATGTGCATTATTTAATCAAAAAAATCGCTAAGAATTTAAGATGACTGTTAAGAAATAACGTCGACTAGTTGATCGTTATTGTTAAAAATTGTCTGAAATAATCTCGATTTTATCGATAAAAACGAAGAATATTCCCAGTATTACAGTCCGCAAGTTTTATAAATTTTATATTTTCTTTAATTCTTTTCTAAAAATTCTAAATTATTTTCTGTGTCATGTTAAATATGCAATAATTTTTTTATATTTACTTCAAGAGAAAATGTCGGTATGCTTTGGTTCAGCAAAAAAAAAAAAAGTATTAGCAAAATACTTGCTTTCTTTATGCAAACATATGCATAACTATTTTACCGGGCTTTTCATACGCTTCCTTCTTTAAACTTCGCATTATTTCCTTTTTGATGTACTTAAATATGATTGAAATGGTTTGATGTTAAAAATTATAATTAATGACAAATTGAAAGAAAAATATTTATTGTGCTTTATTTAAAGAGAAAATATTTCATTCTAGCCAACATTATATTCATAGCTGTTGTTTTCATCCAATTATTAAGCGGGGTTGTTAGGTAAGTTTTATATTAATTTTTGGGAAATAGTCTGAGAGCTTCATTCAGCAGCAAAAATTAAATACAATATTTACGGCTGTTTATGTTATCACATATGTGTGTATGCAGGTATATAAGGAGAATAAATTGTTAACATAAAGTCGAGTCAGCATTCTTCAAAATTATATGAGTGCTGTTTTGTACCGCTACAACAAACTTATTGTATGTATTTACACCCAACCCGATAATAAGTTATGAACTAAGAATTAATTCAGACAAGTATTTGTATTATTTTATATTTATATGTATTTTTACAAACAATAATACATTTAAAATATTATAGTACAACTTTTGATTTCGCATCTTTTAAGGCTCGTTATGATAAATTATAAAAAAGCATATTTCTTAATTAATTTCAAATACACTAAAGACTTTTAACATTACACTTTGTAGTTCGCTCTATTGCATCTGCTTTTCTTGAGTTTCGACTTTTATGGGTTAGTAAATAATAAATTTCTAAGTTTAAAGTGATAATATAAGTATGTATATAAAGTAAAACTCAAAATAAAATATTTTTATTAACATAATCCTTAAAATTCATTAAAGTACACAATTGAAGTTTCTGTGCAGTTGACAAAGCCAATTATGCAAAAACACAAGTTTCGTGTTAAAATTAATGGATGTTAATTATAGACTCACGACCTTTGCCAACTCCAACCCATTGTACTGGTACACTCAGCTCACTTTCTAAGAAACGTACATACTTTTGTGCATTTTCAGGCAACTCCTTAAAGTTGCGTATATTTTCAGTGCTCTGTTGCCAACCGGGCAGTGTTGCGTATTCAACAACAATTTCGCCCAATTCGGCAATTGTGCCAGGGAAATGATCCAAAGTTTCCCCATTAGCGCGTTTGTAACTATAAAAAAAAATATTTAAAAATAATTGTTACTCATTTGTAAGGCAAGATGAATCGTTGTATACTTACGCAACAGCCACCTTGATCTCTGGTAAAGTATCAAGTATATCAAGTTTCGTCAAACAAATGCTTGTATAACCGTTTACAAGTGAGGTATATTTAAGTAACGGAATATCTAACCAACCACAGCGACGTTTTCGCTTCGTTGTAACACCAATTTCGCCACCCTTAGTCTGCAGCAGCTCACCAATTTCCTAAATACAAAAAAAAAAAAAAAAACGGGAAATAAAAATTAAATTAGATACAATAATATATTGTAAATACCTACATTAATTTGTTCGGTGGGGAACGGACCATCGCCTACACGTGTGGTATAGGCTTTAACGACTCCAATAACATCACCAATAGTCTGAGGTGGTAGACCCAGACCAGTAAGTACGCCACCTATACTGCAATTGCTGCTCGTTACGTATGGATAAGTGCCAAAATCAATATCCAACATAGCGGCATTGGCACCCTCTACCAGTATCTTCTTGCCTTGGCGCAATGCAGTGTGAAGGAAACAAATGGTGTCTTTTACATAGGGCCGAATCTTTTCCGCATATTCCTTGTATCGCGACAACTCAGCTTCAACATCGATATTAATAGAAGGGAAAAGACGCAAATGTGTTGCAACAATAGATTTAAACCTGAAATTGAATTTTTTATAACAATATATTTTTAAAGAATATAAAAGAAAATATTTTTTGGTACTACCATTGCAGGTATACACTTACTTATCAGTGAAGAGATTGAAATCACCCAACAATTCCCCTACGCGAATGCCATTACGTGTAGCTTTGCTGGAATAAGCCGGACCAATTCCTTTCTTGGTGGTACCGAGCGATTTGCCACCCTTTTCGGCCTCCTGCATACCATCCACCAATTGATGGAAGTCAAAAACCAAATGTGCGCGATCAGAAATAATCAAGCGATGTTCGAGCTTTTGCAAACCCTTTGCCTCATTTTTAGATAATTCTTCGAACAGTGATGGTAAGTGGATGACAACACCATTGCCTATAAATAATTAATAAAATTATCATTATAAACACATGCATACATAAATATAAATGAAATTAGTCAGAAGTTGTTTATGAGAATATTTTATAACACAATAGGTTTAAGTTCAAAGAGAGATGGTTGAAGACATGCCTCGTTCTGGACGACCTTCGACCTCCTCAACTGTTGAAAATTTTAAAAAAGTGAAGGTTATGGTGCTTAAAAATCGTCAGGCAAATGTTAGAGAGATGGCAAGAGTGCTTAAAATTCAGGTCATATTTCAAAAAGCAGAGAGACTAGTTCGCATATAGTATAAAGACATGTTTAAATCGACTCAGTTCGTCACTCTGTTTATTTTGTATAAAATTGTATACCTTCCTCTAGCATAAAAAATAATTAGTAATAATTAAAACAGTAACATGGTGGTGAATAACTGTAATTTTAATTATGACATGGTCTTGTGACATTCGCCGACGGCGCCGCTTCAAGTTAAATTAAACATCGATTAAACATTTTGAAAATGAAATGATTAATCTTGCGAACAATTACTCATGCAAAGAACATAAATATACAAACACATTTACATACAATATATGTATGTATAAACGTGTTGTTGTTTGCGTTTTTCTGGTTGTAAGCCCCACAATTTCAAATCAATGCTGATTCCTCTGCGTGTCAAATGATAATTTGTCGTTGCGAAAAATGATTCGTTTGCCGAAATAACTACCGCAGTTATGAAATTATCCCTAACTATGCTTTATTATAAATATTTATAAATGCATAAATTAAAGTGGCAATAAACGCATTTATGGTATTTGTGTAGTTAAATCTGATATGTGCTATCTCCTACAAATTTCTTGAGAAAAGATAAAGACGGTGATAGCTCAGATTGCTGAAATTAGAATAAAAAATCTAAATGTACATATGTAAGTACATAAGGTTGACTTTGTCTTACAATTTCATGATTACCCTTCAAAAGCTGTAGTTAAGTACATACGTACGTCTACATGTTAGATAAAAAAAAGTGCACTTCGGCAAAAAAATTGCTCGCTTTGGCCGTGACCGTAAACTAATAGAATAGCCGACACAACTCAGAATCACTGTTGAGATACTACATTCACCTAGACTGTATGTTGGCCACATAGTGCACATACATTTAAATGTATATGTATATTTATTTTTGCTTTCCATTGAAGTAACGTATGCAGAATGAGTGTGTGACTAGAGAAGAGGCTCTTGCCAACTTTTTTCAAGAGCAAATTTTATAAGAGGGACGTACGAAAGGTGCCGATGTTTTTTTTTTATGTACTTATATTCGTTACATATGTTAAGTACTATTCTTTAGCATCTTAGATAATTTACTTACCAATCACAGATATACACTTCTCATTTACAATTCCACTAGGCAGCAAGTGGAAATCAAATTCAGTGCCATTAGCTACAACAGTGTGTCCAGCATTATTTCCGCCCTACAATAGATAGATATGATTTTATATTAAGAAATGTACACGTATATTAAATTATGTATAATTTAAAGACTATGACGTGCATATGTACATACATATATAAACGTTTGTATGTATGTATGTGCCCTATTCCCATACAAAATGCGAAAATAAAATAGAAAAATTATTTATCTTAAGTTTTTGCGGATTGTTAGCAAGAGGGTGCATATACATACATACATATATGTACATATTTAAGATCATACATATTAATGTCTAGCAGTATAATTCAAAGGTTTAATATGTACACAAATTAAACCCATCACTAAGTGCAACACATTTACCTCCTAGTAGAAATACTAGGATTGAAGCAATGCAGGAACTGATATTCCTATGGAGGAGTATAAATATGTGAACCGAATTATGTGGACGATTTTTTGGGTAGTAGAAATCATAAAATTTGGAATTAAGCGGAACAAAATATAACATAATGCGCAATAATTTGCCGTTGAGGCAATGTGCTCCCTGCTCCTATATGGATTCAAGAACCCTATAATGGAATTTGTAATTCGTTTAAACTTTACAAGGTTATAACCTTGCAGTACAGTTTTGCCTGGCGCTGGCATGTATTTTACCAGTATCTATTTCCATCCTCTTCTTCTCCTTGAGGACGCATCGCGTCAGAAAACTGCCTTAATTTAGAGAATGTTGCCGTGTTGACAACCGATGTATAGAAATAAATCCGGATTAGATTCGGTTACGTAGATTCGATTGTTGAGCCGACGGGCGACAAATATAACAACAACAGTATTTGTATGTTGAGAAGATAGTTCTTGAAGGGAGTCCCTCCAAATGGTACTGGATCACTGAACTTCTGTGCACTAAAATTTAACATGTCTATTAGCGCTCGTCCGGAAACAATCTTGTCTACTACAGGGATAGATAAAATATGTATATGTATATAAAAGCATACATAAATATTGTTTGGCAAATGTGCAAAAAGTACTAAAATTTTTAGTTTGTATTTATATGTACATAGGTACATATTTCAACAAACATATATGCATACATATGTATCACACATTATATGGATACAGTATACATTTGTATATAATATCTTAAGAAAATCATAATTTCTATTCAATCGTAGTGATTGACATGTATGTTTAAGGAACTACAACTACTTTTATTATAAGTAACCGGAACGGACCCGGATTTTTATCCGGTCAAGGACTGTCCATGCCTCGAAATTGTTTCAGGAATATTTTCTACAACTACAACAACGACAACCACATTTAATATAATCCTTAAAGGAGCAACTCAATAAAATGTCTTGGAACAAATTGTATTTCCAAATATCTAAATGAAAAATCCGCTTTTTTCACACTGAACTTTTTATTACATTTCTATTGTTGTAACATTTAGTTATCAGGCTTAGACAGCGACTCGTAAAGTTTAATTCTTCAAGATAACACGTAAAATGTATACATACATACTATCCCACTTGTGTTACGACATATGTATTAATTTTTAACCGCTTATTTATTGTCGGTAAATGTGTATATATATGTATATACATGGTTACAGAAATTTCCATACAGTTTACAAAGGTACAGAATATGTTTGTACGTACTTACAAATGCATATGTAGATGTATGAACAAATATATGAGGGAATATGGCTAGATAAGATAAATGGTGTTAATTATTTACTCGCCTCTAAATGAGTGTTAACGATCAGTTTTATGTAAGAACGCTCCTGCACTTTAAAACTTTTAATCACTGGGAAGAAACATAAGTTTCTAAAGAAATATGCTCTACTATGAATTTTTTATTTATTTATATGCACATATATTTAGTGTAATAAGTAAATAAAAATGTAAACAAGACATACTAGTTTTAAGCAATTATTAGCGCGGTAATAAATATATATCCATATGTATGTATGTACATTGCTTTCATATGTAGAAGTAATTAATAAGAAATACGAATGATTGCGTGTGCATACCGTCCAGGCGAGCTACGCGATAAAATGAAATCACAATTGTCGGTTATTCACCAACTCAAAGTCAAATAGAACGCAAAACTATATGTTATGTAAACATTAAAACGCCAAAAACACAAGTATAGAAAAATTTGCTGAAGTAATCATGCGTATCCATTTTGTGTATGTGTTTTATGAATGAATGCTGTGGCAGGCTGTGAACAGATTACCACACACAAGGAATAACGGGAACTATTTCATCAGAATTAACAAATAATACTTAGTGAATTCTGAAGTGTAAGTTTGATAATATTCCAAATATGAACAAGTGACAATTATTTTACTTTAATTCTTTTTTTCCGCGTGACTTGTATGTCGGTGTTTAAGTACAATGTGTATTACTCACCTGACACCTGCAAACAATGTCCACTTCCAGCGCTAGCATATCGACAACTTTGCCCTTGCCTTCATCGCCCCATTGAGCGCCTAGCACAACTCCAACCTTGGATTTGTACATGTTGAGACGTCCTTGATGTAATGTCTCATAGTTACTCCCGTTCACAACACTGCTACTGGACTCCGTCATCTTCACACGTTTGGTCGGCGTCGGTGGCGCTATTTTGGTAGATATTCTGCAATCGACCGAAAATACACAAATCCCGATCACTGTCACGAAAGTACCCTAAGTACTTTTCTCGACACAGGCAAAACTTGTAAAGAAATCACAGGGAATAGAAAAGCACATTTATCGGTCCATTCCGAATTTGCATGTCAGATGTCAGCTGTCATTTGTCAACCATAAGCATGCGTACTTGACTTTTTTAACAGGGTTGTCAACACTTATTACCAGAGAACTGCCTTCATTAGCAATAATTTTGGAAGGCGTTTTTTATGGGAGACAAAGTAATCAATAAATTATCGTTATATATAACAATTTATGGTAACAATCAACAGATATTTAGTATAAATACAAACTGTCTAAGATATTACACATTTCAAAATGTTTTATCAACCACTATTAAAACATTTTCCATTTTACATATCTTAATAAATTACTTTTGGTATATATTATATATATAATTATTTTTCAGACATATACATCAGCTTTGATTACCCTTTTCTACTATCAATTAATTTCCATATAGTCTTCATAAATAGTATACCAATATTTTAAGTTCTGCTGTATTTAATTAATTGGTTTTAAGAAATCTTTACTTTTATGAATACAATTTTAAAGGTACGTTCTAATGATTTAATTTTATTAGCCTTGCTACTTTCAAAATTTTGTCATAAAATATTGCAGCATGCCATTTTTTAACTGGCAATAAATATGGCAATAACAATTTCTTTAAAGTAGCTTTCAATAGCAACTTGTATATACATAGAAATTAATTTAATTTTAATGTGTTAACGTCGGTTCTTTGAAATTTATTTATTTAATAATTAGAAACATACATTTCATTCTCATTTGCCAAAAGGCTTCAACTGCACAGAAAAATGCTTGGCATCCCTGCAAAAAATTAAACATATGTGTTTAACCATTAGAAGTCGCTCTCGACCAAACCTATTTGGCCAAAAATAATAAAAATAAGGATTTTGCATTTATAGTCGTGTCTTGTTTTGCTATTTATTTTATTTGGTGCAGTTTCCATTAGTTTAATATGGATTCACCTCACACAATTTGTCAATTGTAAGTATTTATACTTTATAAATTTTCTAGTTTTAATTTCTACTTTGTTTTCAGCTGCGAAAAGGTTGTATTTAAATATACATGTCCGAAATGCAATGCGCGGTATTGTTCTATCGCTTGCTATAAGACTCCAGAGCACTTGAAATGTACAGAAGCATTTTATAAATCATGTATACAAGAAGAATTATCATCAGATGATCGCAATGACATGAAGAAAATATATGAAATATTAAAAAGCATACATGAGACAGACGCTGGAATTGAGCATGATTTTAATGCAGAAAAAACGGAAGGTAATTTAGATGAGGATGATATTTCTGATGGTGATGGTGATGGTGATGACGATGGCAATGATGAATACGATGAGGAAAATCTTGAAGATATTGCTACACGTATGCAAAATGTTGATATAAATGACGCGGACGAGGTCTGGGAACATTTGTCAACGAGTGAGCGTGCTGAATTTAAAAAGTTAATTGAGAACAACAAAATAATGGATTTAGTACCAGAGCATAAACCTTGGTGGTCTTTAAAGAAAACAAAAATAATAGAGATAAATAACACCAATAATGATACTCTTGTACCTGAAATTGAAAAAAATATACCAAAATTTTCAAGCATTTTTAGTAAAGCACCATCGCCGTGTTTGCATTATAATTTATGGAATATATTGTGCTCATATGCAGCGATGGTGCGACACTTCAATGGCGAACACTCCACAACCCCAATTGAAGCTGTTGCGCATTTGGTAAATTTAAGTTTAACTTTAAAATTTGGAACAAATTTTGAGAGTGTTGACAATGCTCTAACAACTGTGGAAATTGAAGCGCTTAATACGAAAGATGTTGGCCTAGGCATGTCAGAAAATTTCGAACCAACTTATTCGGGGGCATTATGCTCTCTATTAAAACATGATGCTGAATCCTTAATGTCGTCCTGTCATAACAAACTAGCAGCACTTAGCGACATTTACCATTTATTAAAGAAGGCCACAAATCATTTAAAAATAAGTGATTCTAAAAAAGACGGTGATTTTTTTAAATTATTCGCCGTATGTAACGGAAGTGTTATGCTGGACCGAAAAAAATTGTTACATTTAACAAAAAAAATCCAGTTTTTATTATCATACGTTAATATTGACAATGAAGAACTACTTTAAAAGAATAATAAAAAATCTGTGTAATTATAAATGTAAATATCTGAGTATGTTTGTTTTGAATACTTTTTATTTGTAAATAGGCGTGAATGGAAAACTGTAAGATTTGATCGATATTTTTTTTTATTAACTTCTAGTAATACATCACGTAAGTTGATTGTGTAAATTAAAGTGCTGAAAATATAATAAATGTTTTTAATTTTTCCAACTAAGTATCCAGGCAGACAATAGATGTGTTTCCGATAATTTTATTGCTGTCAATATAAGGTTGCATCTTAGCAGGCAATAACTATATCCGCCAATCAACTCACCAAATCCAAATTGGGCAATAATTTTCTGTAGGCATTTGTTATCCGGATAAAAGCAGTTGTCATATGACTTTGGATATGGTTTTTTGATATGGTTTGAGATTTGAGAACCATTTTGGCATCCCATATGGAATCAAAGCTCTCTATTATATCCATTAGAGGGCGCAATGTCGTTTTAAACGATAATACACATATTGTGGATTTATCGCATTTTATGAAGTTGTTTACAAGTCAACACATTTTTGTGGTTTTGTGATTTATTTAATTTGTTTCATACTTCGCTTGGTTAACTTTAGTTAAATATGGATCTAGCTCACTCAGTTTGTCAATTGTAAGTATATCTGCTTTGTAAATTGTTTAGTTTTAATTGCTACTTTATTTTCAGCTGTAAAAAGGTTGAATTCAAATATACTTGCCCAAAATGCAGTGCATTGTATTGTTCTAAGAGCTGCTTTAGGAAGCCAGTACACAAGAAATGTACCAGTTCATTTTACAACATTTTTCGCCAATCTTCATCATATAGTAAGGAGGAGCGTAATGAAATAATGATGAGATATATGATTTTGAGAAAAATACTTGAAATACAGAATGGAACCATGAAGGAAAAAGCAATAAGTGAGAGTAGTAACGAAAGTGAACATAGTGTCTGGACTGGGGATATTGGTAATATTGGTGAAGATGGTTTCTATTCTCATATTGGTGATGATATTTGTGAAGAATGTAATGATGATGCTGATGATTCAAATATTAATAATTTAAATGAAGGTGGCGATAACGTTGAATTGGATGATGATAATAATAATGGTTATGATGAAGATGAATGTGATGATGATGATGATGATGAAGATGATGATGATGATGATGATGATGAAGATGACGATGATGATGATGATGATGATGAGGACGATGATGATGATGATGATGATGATAATGATAATGATTATGACGATGATGTTAATGTTGATGATGATGATGTTGCTGATGGCGATGAAGATGAAGCTGATGACGGTGATTCTAATTATGAGAGTGGGATTTCTAGTGATGACGACGTTCATAATGGTTCTAATGATAATGGTGATAAATACAGTGATAACGACGATGGTGACGACTTTAATGATGGTGGTGATAATAACCGCAATGTAGGTGACTTTAAAGATGATTCTAATAATGATGGTGATAATAAGGGCAATGTTGATGGTGATAACGGCGGCGATGACGATGATGATGATGATGACGATGATGATAATGGTGATGACGGTGATGATGATGGTGATGACGACGGCGATGTCCATGATGATGATGACGACGATGATGGTGATGACGTTGATATTCGTGATTTTGGTTACTTTGGTGATTTTAATAATTTATATAATTATATTGTTAGCGATGATATACTTGAACTTACTAGACAATTTTGCTATTCGCTGAGAGCGCGAATATTAGAAAGACGATCGAAAACATTAAAAGCAAAGTTCGATTATTACAACATACCCTACTGATTATATGCAACATAATAGATTTTGGTGCATAATGTATTATCATGTCATATCATATCATACAGATATTTCATTTTCTAGGCAATGGTCAATACCGGTTGTCTTCAGTATTATACCTTTGGAGTATGAATACGTTGTCTACCTTTAAGCAAAATATATATACAGGAATTTATTCCTATACAACAAGTGAAATGCTGATTAAAAGCTTGAAGCAATAATGATTATTTTGTACGTGCAATTTTACAAAGCCACTGCAACTTTGACTGTAATACGAGCGTACCCAGCCCTATGGATTTATCAAAAAAGTTTCGTATAACCTAATATGGTTCTGTTAAAAGAAAAGAGAAACACTGTGTGCATATTTCGTGTAATAGTTAAGAATAAAACTCATAAAATATTAATTTTATTATTTGCCATTTAGGTAGTAGGACTATGGTATAGATAAATAAGTAAATGAATATATCGAATATTTATTATTATAGTTTAATATTGGACACACTATACATGGTGTTTGTAGCTGAAAATCTAAAGATAATAATGACAAACAAAGACTGACCTACATTTTAAAAGCTTTATTTTTATTGCACTTGATTTGTAAACGAGATTTTATGGATACTTTCAAGATTTTGTATACGTTTTTGTATGAAATATGTATGTCATTTTAAGATTTCATTTCTTGTTAAATAATAGATTTTGTATGCAATTTACAATTTAAATCATTCCCAGGAATCAAATTTGTCTATAATTTGCAAAACGCAGTATGGTAGCTTTGAAGAAAGCGGATTCAATTCACTTACTTTGTTCCTTTTTTTTTTTACACGTAAAAATGTTGACAAGTGTTGGCGGCTAATATGTACTTAGACTTCGCTAATATGAACCGACTAAACAAAAATAATAAATAATTCAAATCTAAACTTAACAAAAAATATTAAAGAGTAAAAGCTTCCAAGTCCGAGCAACTTCTAATCAGAGCTAGCTGTCTTAGTCTAATTATTGTTTGAAATTTAGTTTACAAAAACGAATTGAGTTTACTTAGGGAAAGAGCGTTTAATTTTTATATATTGTCTAAGATTAATAGTTGAAGAATGCCGTAACCTGGTGGTTGTTGTTTTTGTAACGGGTACTTATCCCCGTTGATAAGTTGTCGTCGACGTCATCGAATGGAAGGCCCAAGAAACGTTTGTCTGAACCCTGGAGCCGTAACCAGGTGGTTTTGTGCAGATATCTTTAAATTATGTTTAAAAAACATACCAATT